AGAGAACAGCCAAAATAGAGAGAAATATATATATATATTTATAATATATATATTCCCAATAGGGGCCAGGCTCTGTTCCAGTTAATGGGAATATATATATATTTTTTTCCTATCAGAGCCTGGCCCCTATCAGAGCTTGGTGAATATTCGGTGAATGAAACACTGGGTTACACTTGGGAATTCAGACATAGTGTTATCAAATCTTCAGATTTTTTTTTTCAAATACGTGAAATTTTTAGCTGGCACATTCTGATTTTTGGGTGTTGGAAACTAACTAGAAATGTTTAAAGAGTCCATGGTTCCCATTTGGTGGGCAAAACCAATACCAAGGAGGATTGCTAATTTACCTCCTGGGCTCTAGGGAGTTTTGTGTGCATGAGTGTTTGTGTGTATTAGCAAATTTGTCACTCATCCTCAAACTATTTTTTTTCTTTTTTTTCTTTCTTTTTTTCAGAGACAGAGTCTCACTCTATAACCCAGGCTGCAGTACAGTGGGGCGATCATGGCTCACCATGCCTGGCTCATTTTGTAAAATAATTTTTTCTAAAGACAGCGTCTTGCTATGGTGCCCAGGCTTGTCTGGAACTTGTGGGTTCAAGCAATCCTCCTACCTCAGCCTCACACAGGCATGAGCCACCATGCCCAGCCCTCAAACTTTTTTTTTTATTTGTTTTTTTTCTTGAGACGGAGTTTCACTCATGTTGCCCAGGCTGGAGTGCAATGGCGTGATCTCGGCTCACCGCAACCTCCGCCTCCTGGGTTCAGGCAATTCTCCTGCCTCAGCCTCCTGAGTAGCTGGGATTACAGGCACGCACCACCATGCCCAGCTAATTTTTTTTTTTTGTATTTTTAGTAGAGATGGGGTTTCACCATGTTGACCAGGATGGTCTCGATCTCTTGACCTCGTGATCCACCCGCCTCGGCCTCCCAAAGTGCTGGGATTACAGGCATGAGCCACCGCGCCCGGCCTCCCTCAAACTTTTAATATTTGTGTGTCACCCAAGCATATCTAACAGAGTCTCTAATACTAATCTCTACCTCCTAGACATAGAAGTTTTAATTAATGGTGATTTTGAGAATATATATAATTATTACACATGCACATATAAAATTGTTTATGTATATAATAGTGTATGTATATATACATAAGTATAAAATTTCCGTTTGGAAGTGAAGCAGGCAATACTGGTTCCAAAACTTTCTTTGGTAACCTAATGTAGTTAACTTGTGTCTTGCGTTGCTGATGCCTAAAAGCCTTCAGAAGGTGCTTACATGCAATGTTCTTTTCTTCAGTAATTTTTCTCCTCACTCTAGTCTGCCTTGTCTCTTCTCTCCATACCTACTGAGCTTGCAATCTTTGTCATTAGCTTTTATAGTATTTTTGTTGTTAACCTCTTTTATGTTTATTTGCCTTATTGTTTTTCAACACTATTTTAAGATTCACGTAGGCTGGAATCATAACCATTTTAATTTTTCTCTTATATTTTATTCATCACCAAGCATAGCATTGGGCTTATGGGGGTGTTCAACAGACATTTGTCAGAAGAAATTGGATTTATATCAGAACAGAGAGACACAAGTTTTCAGAAAACTAAAAGTTTTTTTTCCCCTTGATCTTTTCATCACTGTTGGAAGCTCACCCATTTCCCATTGCTCTCAAACATGAAATATTATATTAGTCTTTGCTTCTTCAGTTTTTCCCCCTACATTGATTTCAGTTTAATTCAATTTCTTCATCCTCCTTAGTAACCTGAGCTGGAATAATAACATGCAGGAAATTTCAAATTGATATGGATTATCTTCTAAAGGTTTATTTTTTCTACCATAAAACTGCAAAATTTATTCCCTTGATTTGACTAAATTCCCATCTTCCTTAAAATCCTATAATTCTTTTTTTTTTTTCTTTTTGAGACAGAATCTTGCTCTGTCACCAGGCGCCAGGCTGGAGTGCTGTGGCATGATCTCGGCTCACTGCAACCTCTGCCTCTCGGGTTCAAGCAATTCTCCTGCCTCAGCCTCCCAAGTAGCTGGGACTACAGGTGCATGCCATCACACCCAGCTAAGTTTTGTATTTTTAGTCGAGATGGGGTTTCACCATGTTGGCCAGGATGGTCTTGATCTCTTGACCTCGTGATCTGCCTGCCTCGGCCTCCCAAAGTGCTGGGATTACAGGCGTGAGCCACCGCGCCCAGCAAAATCTTATAATTCTTTATCAATACCTGAATCAAATTTAAATTTTGCACAATAAATGGCTTATATTATACTGTGATATATTGATAAATTTGATATTAAAATTAAATTTAAATTTTGCACAATTTAATTTCCAGCATTCTTGTTGCTCTTCTTTTTTTCCTGTCTTTTTATCTTTTACTAATGCCCTAGTATCATCGACCCAAACAACATGGCCTGTGAGGCCTTCTGGTTTCTGTGTTCAATTTTATTTCCTAAATTCCAGAATATCAAGTTAATTTTCAATGATAAGTTTCAATATTGAACACTGAATTTGCATCATTGTTCCAGTTTCTTCTCTTGGTAATTTGAATGGGAAGTCACAGTGGAATATAAGCCATTTATTAATTTGCTATAAGAAAGTATAAACAGAATCATAAAAACATCAAAATACTTTTGATCTATACATTCTTTCCTGGATGCAGAACCACATGAGAAGCCAAGTCAGAATTAGAAGGTGGCTTGATAAGTGTGGATTCAGAACAAGTAGCTTTAGATGACTCAAAAGTTTAATGGGCTGATGCAAAGATTGCTTCTGAGCAACTCTTTATACCTGAGAGGTTTTCTAACAGTGTGTTCTGAAATTTTGATAGGTAGAAGCTGTAAAAACTGTCATATAAAAGATGCAGGGAGCTTGTGTCTCTGAACGGGTAAAGATGAACACTCCTTTGGAGCTGATTGTTCCTTCGCTCTGGGAAAACCTGACTGGGGCTTTAGTTGCACAAATGTAAAGCAAATATCACTTATGAATTATTAATTATTCTTGGGAAAAATGTGATGTAATTGTTAACCTGAATGAAAACATATTGAACTGTGAGGCTAAGTGTTCTGTTTGCTAATGTATGATTTTGCCCAAGCTTGTGCAAGTTAGTCAGCATCTGCAAGTGTCAGTTTTCTCTTCAGTAAGATGGGGGACAATGTTTATTAAGATTAAATAAGGTCATACAAGTCAACTTCTTATAGTGGTGTCTCACGTTTATTAAATGGCTCAATATTAGTAATGATTTGTTTCTGAGAATATCACTATTTTCATATTTTATTTTTCGGTCTGGATTGTGACTGCACGGTGCCAGCAAACTGAAATTTTATTCCTCCTGGAGATGTGGGTATTTGACTGCACAGAAGGCTCAGGAATGAACTCCAAGTCAGATCCTGGCCTCCTGCAGGAAGATCATGTATAAAGTAGAGAGCTGAAAGTGCAATGCAAAAAAAAGCTGTTGATTTCTTGCACGTGATTAACCTAGATGGATATAGTAATGCTGTGATGTGATTGCTTGTTTCTGGAAGAAAGTTTTCCTTTTTTTTTTTAAATTATTATACTTTAAGTTGTGGTGTATATGTGCAGAATGTGCAGGTTTGTTACATGGGTATACAGGTGCCATGGTGGTTTGCTGCATCCACCCCCTCGTCATCTACATTAGATATTTCTCCTAATATTACCCCTCCCCAATCCCCCCAACTCCTACTATCCCTCCCCTAGTACCCCCTACCCCCAACAAGCCCTGGTGTGTGATGTTCCCCTCCCTGTGTCCATGTGTTCTCATTGTTCAACATCCACTTATGAGTGAGAACATGTGGTGTGTGGTTTTCCATTTTTGTGTCACTTTGCTGAGAACGATGGTTTCGTATACTAATTTCTCCACTCACAAATATCTCGAGAAGCGGAAGATCGTAGGACAAAAAATTAGAAGGTGAGCTTTTAAATGAGATGGATGAGAATTTTTGTTGTTGTTGTTCTGGCTAAATGTTTGATGCCTGAACTTGGAGATGGATTGGCATCCTCCTGTATTGGTGGAGGGAAATCAGCCACTATTTCATGAAATTAGGCTAGGGCTAAGGCCTATTGGGATTTGGGAAATAATGCTGTTCATTTACATTCACTGTCTCTTTTTCCATTGGAATGGGAGTTTTGGGTAAATGTTGGTTAGCTACACTACATTATCCTGCTTTCTCTGTAGTTAGATGTCTCCATATGACTGAGTTCTCTCTAATGGAATGTGAGTGGAAGTGATGAATTCCACTGCCAGGCCTGGCTCTCAAGCCTTTGGAGTATTTTACCATGCTCTTTTTCCTGCCTATCATGGCAATAACCAGAGAGATCCTGGAACTCATGTAATGAAAATGGTAGAGTGGTCATCAGACTAACTCCTGAATGGCTGCATGGAGAAAAGCCAGTGTTGGTTTGGAACCCCTACCCTGGACTTCTCTATGAGAAAGACATATTTTTAGACAAATGAATTTTTGGTAATTCCTTCAAGTAATTTACCTTCTGTAAGAAACCCAGAAATTAATGTCTGGACAGTGTTGCTACAGGCTGAAAAGATGAAGAAATATATTCCATATTGTGGTAAAACATGGCAATTTATTAAAATTAATTCCAACTACAAATCTGGAATGCAGACCACATGCTCACATAGTTTTAGGTGAAGTGGTTGGAAGGTGCTCCATGTTTTTAGTTGGTAGCTGCTATCCATTGCTTCAACTAAAGTATTGCAAGAATTGACCGGTTTGTGCACAAAGAATGAAGGGAAAGAATCAGAGTTGAAGGACTTCACAGGACTGGAAAAGCTAACTGTTTCTGGAACCCAAACAGGAAATAAGATGTAAAATAGCTTCAAGTAGAAAGGCTCAATAGGATGTGTAAGTTAAATTAAGGCGATTAAGCTTGCAGAAAAATCAGATGAAGGGTGATATTTTTCTGTTCACCTGTTTTAGATGATCTCAAGGTAGCTCTTGATACGTTCACACTCCCTCTCTCTGTCTCTCCACAGGAAAGTTTAAATAAAAACAGCAAATTGAAAAAAATAGGTCTAAAAAACTATTTGAGTATGGCTACTGGCACCTGGATACGGCAAGAAATAGGTAAGAAACATACTTGGTTTTTGAGGGAATTGCACTGCTAAGAAAACTGTAATCTTCACCTGAGAAAGCTTTGACTCTGACCTGTAAAATAATTCTTAAACCACCAAACCGTTACAAACAAGAAGTGAGTTTATGGGCCCTGCCACCCTGAGGTGGGACATACAGTCTGATGATCATTACAGAGTGCTACGAAAGACTACGGAAAAGGAGGAACATCTCAGAAGGCAAATCCTGATGCCTTTAAGGATCATAAACCAGGAAACTTCTCCCAGAGAGCACAGTTACACCTAACGTGGGGACTTTATTTAATACTGGGGCAGGATCCTACACAATGCAAGCCCAGCAGGAATGTGTCATTTTGATGGACTACGATTGTTGTCTGTTTTCTATTGCCCCACTCTCCTTTATTAAATGACATTTTTGGGGGGGAAGGGGGAAATTTAGATTTACAGAAAAATTGAGCAGAAAGTACAGAGTTCCCATATACATGTACCGTTTCATCTCTACTGCTCACCAGTTTCCCCTATTATTAATATCTTCTTCTAGTGTAGTTCATTTGTTACACTTGATGAGCCAATACTGATACATTATTATTGACTAAATTCCAGTTTCCATTAGGGTTCATTTTTTTGTTGTATATTCTAAGGGTTTTGACAAATGTATAATGATATGTACTCACCATTACAGTATGATATAGGATAATTTCATTACCCTAAATATTCTCTATGCTCTTTCAATTCATCCCTCTCTTTCTCACTTCCCCTTCTTTCTGCTGGCAATCACTGTTCTTTTGACTTCTAGAATGTCACATAGTTGTAATCGTACAGTAAGTTGACTTTTCAAGTGGACTTATTTCACTTAGCAGTCTGCACTTAACGTTTTTTCCATGTCTTTTTGTGGCCTAAGAATTCATTTTTTTTAAATCACTGAATGGTGTTGCACTGTATGGATATAACACAGTTTGTTTATGCATTCAGCTTTTGAAGGGCATCTGATTGCTTCCAGATCTATGCACTTTTGGCAGTACTCATTTGTGAGCATACAGTATGACAACGCATGATTGCTGGAACATGCAGTAAGTATATATTTACTTTTCTAAGGAACTACCCACCGTTTTGCAACGTGGCTGTACCATTTTGCATTCCCACCAGCAATGAATGAGAGTTTTGTGGCTCTCTGTAGTCTCTCCCCTTTTAACCGGCATTTTTATTGTGGTTATCCTACTCTATTAATGTACATTGACTAGTGCTTTGGGTTGATAGCTTTAGTTAAAGGTCTCTGTCCCATGAAGGAAAATACCCAACCTTGCAGAGAAACTTCTGGTGGATATCCTGGGCTTGGATCTCCATGAGAAGTTTCTCTACATTGCTTGGGACTAGATATGACTGCTGGAGAAGACTGAATTGCGTTCTTGGGAGAGAGTAAGTCTGTGAAGGGAAGGACACAGCAAAAGTTGCTGCCTAGACATTAGAAGGAGAATTTCACACCCAAATAACTCAAGCAGGTGGCCAGGGATGAGAACTTAGAGGCCTTCCTCTAACCTAGCACACTGAGCTCCATGTGTCCTCCCTGCTTCCTTTAAATGGACTATCCAGGCATTTGCCTGTGAAATTTCAATGTCCCACCCCCTTTCACTTACCTAGACTGTGCGTTGACTGTTCTTTCTCTCCGTGTATGTGTGTCTGACTTTTCTTCCAGCCTCATGTGACCTGGGAATGAAGGAACACTGCCTTCCTGACACATCACCCTCTATCTGCCCAGGATCTGTATGTAAAAAGCTTTGAACTTGCTTCCTATTGTGGTGGTATATTAAATTTGTGCCTTCCATCAGAATGAGGGGCTTCCCCAGGCAGAGTTTCCCCCAGGACACAGAGGGCAACATGGGGTTGGGGTTTCAGGGCCAGAGCAATTCAGGCAGGCATAAAGTGGGCATGGGTCAGACATGAGCAACATGAGCGCCTTCCAGTCTGAGCAAATTTCTTATGTGAGGGTCACCTAGTTGTGGGTTAGACAAGTAGACATTAGGCCATCTTCCAGGCAAAAGAAGAATCTTGCGAAAGGCACACTGTCAACACCTGGGTCCGGTTCCCTGGCATTTCCTGTTAGGGCAGGGTGGCTAGCAGCTCTGGAGCATTGGAGCTCCAGTTTAGCTGGGGGCTCTGTTTTATCTGTGTCAGAGAGATAGACTGTGATGGAGAGGACAATCTGACCCTCAGAACCTGTTGTCTTTTTCATCCACCACAAATGAAGGGCTGGACCTATGGCTGGCCAGCTATGCTGCTTCCCAGCTTTCACCACATTTAGGTGTAGTCATGAGACAGTGCTCTTTCACGGTCTGTGCGTGGAAGTTATGTGTGCCACTTCCAAGGCTGGCTATACGAACTTCTAGACATGCCCCTCCCTGCTCTTTCTCACTTTTCTTTGTGCTGGAATGGTGAAATAGAAGATGACCAGAGAGACACTGGAAGATAAATGTTATGAATGGTCAAGCCCTGTGAGTCTGGGTTCCTGAATAATAGCATTGAGGGAAAACCACCCTACTGACGTATATTTTTCCCATTGGACTACTATATGAATAAGTGATGAACTTCCCTTATATTTGAGCTAAGCTTGGTTCTATTTATAAGAATAGTCCTGCCTATTTTAATATAGTAATCATATGCATAATGTAAAGTATGTCATTTTCTTCTCCTTCTTGGCTCTCACAATGCTTCAGATCACCTAAAAAATTATGGTCATAAACAGGAGGTTTTGGTCTCACCCTAAATTGATCACTTTCTTTGTTTCATTGATGGGCTGAGTGGCAATATAACATCAAAGTAAAGAAACTGGCATGTAGGAGTTTCTTTGCTATCAATATCTACCTATATTTAAATCCCTGGTTTTGTTAACTTAGGAAGAAGATTTCTTTCACTTTTTAAACTTTGATTTCATTATCTGAATAAGGAGAACAATCACATTTCTTTTATAGGCTTGTTGTGGAAATTAATTGAAATAAATCATGTAAAATATTTAGCACATGATTTGGCATTTATGTGCTCAGGCAACTTTAGCTATTAGCTAATTCTTCATTCTGTGGGGTTGGTTCTACACCCACATTTAATGGAAAGATTTGGGTTAAAAATAATAACTTTCCTGCTATTCTCAGTGAGGTTGGGTTCTACACCCACATTTAGTGGAAAGACTTGGGTTGAAAATAAACAAAAATTTTCCTGCTACTCTCTAGCTGCTAGGTGAAATAACTTCTGATTTTAGTCAGAGTGAGAAAATGAGGAAATATAAAAGATAGGAATTTTGTTTGATTTCCTGGGGTAATAGCCAATTTCTCCAAATCAAGTACAATAATTGTACCTCCCATTGGGCAGAAAGTTTGTAAAGAGAATTGCTGAACCTCTTCATACACGAAAATCCAGCAGTTAGGGCAGATGCCAGAAACAGCACTAAGGGGGTAACACAATGAATTGCGAATGTGTGCAGAGAGTTCAGCAACTGGCAAGAGCAATTAAAACTGCAGTGAGCATGTGCTGCATGGAAGTTATTGGTAGATCGGGTTCAGAAATCCAGCAGCAGCTGAAACAGTGAAGACAATAAATAGTTTAAATTGGCAACCAACACTTTTTCCAAACACTTATATGTACATAATGAGAACAATACAAGAGAAAGTGTGAAAGAGAGTGAAAATGGGGTTGACTGGGATTCTGAGGGAGGTCACACAGCTGAAATGCCCACATTAACTAGACTATGCATTCCTACCAAGGGTCTCAGGGAAACCCTCCCACCCGCCCCCCACCCCATGGCACCAAGGTAAAAAACAGAAAAGTAGAATAGCAATGAACAGTAAATTGAATCTTACTTTCAAAATTGGTCAGTGAAAAAGTGAGGGAAGAGATTTTCCATCTTTCTAGGTAAGAAGGAATTGATGGTAAAATCCAAAGTTAAAATAAATTATACAATTTGCCAGGTAAATTAATTTAAGTTGTTATTAAACAGTCTCAATTAAATTTATCCCTCTTATATTTCCAAATTCTTAATTGTTACAGGTAAGTATTCTATATTCAAAAACAATACATAATATGGGCCCTCATGCCAGTGTGGATATTAGAATATTGCCTAGTCAATGTTTGATTGTATTGAGTTGAATTTTTCTTTCTTCCTTCCTTTTTTTAATTGTACTTTGGTTTCTGGGGTACATGTGCAGGTCATGCAGGGTTGTTGCATAGGTGCATACATAACCAGGTGATTTGCTGCCTCCATTCCCGCTTCATCTGTATCTGGCACTTCTCCCCGTGTTATCCCTCCCCACTGTCTCCACCCTCCACTGTCCCTCGCCTAGCCTCCCCCACCAACTGCCCCCAGTGTGTGATGCTCCTCTCCCTGAGTCCACATGTTCTCATTGTTCAACACCTGTCTATGAGTGAGAACATGTGGTGTTTGTTTTTCTGTTCTTGTGTCAGTTTGCTGAGAATGATGGCTTCCAGATTTATCCATTCTGAACCTATTAAGGAAGGGGAGAGAGACTTCCACAATCAAAGTTGAATTTAGGTTGTTCTCTAGCCTGCAAATCAAGACATTATAGAAAATGGATCAAATTTAAATACAGGAAAAGTCTGTAGGTAAACAACTTGAAGAGACAAGGATAAAATATGCATCTTAGAATGTTATCTTTCTCTAAGGAATGTAAACTTTTGTAGATCAGAGACAGTCTTTGATGTTTTGTTTTGTTTTACAGCAGGACAGTCTAATAAACATTATTCTTGGGCTATCCATTTTATCTTATATCCGACTGTTTCCCAACAGGAAGCTTCCAGTCAGGCAGCAGGCTGCTCCCCTGACTTCACGTTGACCACCCTCCTTCTGGCTTTTGAGCCCATCTTCTGTGTTCACACCATTTTCAGTCTTTTTCTAATGGTTTTCATTTTTTTCCTTTTCTATCAAAATCCTCTTCATTCCTCAGAGTCCAGCTTAAATCCTCTGACCCGTTTCCTATCATTGAACTTCCGTAGCATATGATTCTCAGAACCACACAGTTTTGCAGTTTATTTTATGACTCTAATCATTTCATGTGTATAAATCAGGTTATGCCAATAAGATGATAAGTTCTTTGAGTAAAGGGCATAGGTCTTCTTCTTTCAGGCACATGGTAGACATTCCATAAATATTTATTGATTGATTGTTTAATATGCTTCCTAATGCACATAAGTTACATAAGTTACTCTTAGGAAGTAATTATGCAGTGGAGCAATCTGGCTAGAAAAGAATTGATGCAGGAAGAAGTTGAGCAGAGAACTGGATAAAATCAAAGCTTACATTAATGGTAGCAAATGACATGATTAACACCTTTTGTGGCAGCCTTGCAGCTTGAATTTGATAAAGGAAGGTAATTTCTCTAAAGAACCAAAAGCTAAATTGAATGATTGAATTTAACTCCATCGTGTAAGCCTGTGTTAGTCGATTTTTTAAAAGATGACATGTGAGTGTATTTTAAGTGCAATGCATCAATCTGCCATTGAGCTAATGAACTTCAAGTTAAAAATCGCTGAGGAGGTTGGTGCAGATGACTCTTTCAAGTATCCTTGGGGAGGCAAGATGTGTAGGTAATTGAATGAAAATCTATCTTGACTGACCCCAATGACAACAGTGTCCAACTAACATTACAAATCACCTATAGTCTTTAATGAACTATTTTTTAATTGCTTTAGAAGTGTTAATGGGCCTACAAGGGAGCAGAGCTGAGTGTTTCTTATTTGTCTATTCCTCATCAATAAAATACATTTTTAGTTTTGTTTTTATCACTGGTAGTTTACAACTAACTTCAGTAGCTCTAGTTTAAATTTCATCAGAGGGGAAAATAGCACATTTGGTTGCCTTTACACTGCCTAATCTTTCTGTCTTTATGAATGCCTTGAGATTATGAGATCAAATTAGTTCAACCATAAAATGTGGGAATAAATGAGAAATTGGTGACTGTAAACTAATTAAAAGGAAAATAAAACAGAGAAACACCTTTTTCTATGAGTTCTAGTAGAATTGTATTCAAATTCACAGTTCAATTAAAATGTGATTTTCTGTTTTTCTAAAGGGAAACATAAATATTTAGAGATTGTTATACAAATAATATATTATGAAAGAATCATAAAATAAATACGGTTTTGAGAAATGGTGGAATCAGGTATAACTGAACTGCATGAAAATATGTAGAAATATTAATCAAAACACAAAATCAATAGTTGGAAGTATTAAATTAATGCTGGATAAAATGTGATCTTAGAGGACATCTTCAGAATCACTGGTAATGCTTGAAATGCAGTACTATGAAATAAGTACTATGGTTTGAATGTCCATTCCAAAACTCATGCTGATATTTAATTGCCTTTGTGACCCTGTTTAGAGGTAAGACTTTTAAGAGATGATTAGGCTATGATGCCACTGCCTTCATGAATGGATTAATGCCATTGCCATAGGAGGGGGTTTATTATCTCAAGAGTGCATTGATAAGAAAGTGAGTTTAGTTTTCTCTGTCTCTGTTGCCCAGGTATGTCCTTCTGCTTTACACCTGGAATAGTGCAGCACGAAGGGCTCTGCAAGATGCTGGCACCTTGACATTGGACTTCCCAGCCTCCAGAACTATGTGAAACAAATTTCCTTGCTGGGCTGCTCTAGCAACACAAAATAGACTAAGACACAAGGTCATACTCGAGATCTACTCAATCAGAATTTCTGAAGGTGAATCACAAAAATCTATACTGTAAAATAACATCTTAGATGAATCTTT